AAATGGTTAGAAATCTCCTCGTGTAGTAATTGTGAAGATTTTCAAAGTCGGCGGGCTCAAATCAGGGTAAAAAACCAGGCAGGCAAAAAATACTATCTCCATACCCTTAATGGTTCAGCTTTGGCAGTTGACCGTCTAATTACTACTCTGTGTGAATATTATTATAATGAAAAAGAGAATAATTTAATTATTCCTGAAACTTTACGGAAGTATTTTTACTAAAATAAATATATGACAGAGAGAAACAAATTCCAAGAACTATTAGAAACAATAAAAAAATACAAAGACAACGTCACGGATTATGCTTATTCAACCCAAGTAGGAGGAAGAAGTTCTCCAGATAAAACTAGAAATTACTCTTATAGTAAGGAGACTTATGAAATTTCTTCGCCAGAATTAAAGAAAGAAGCCCGCAAAATTATTTTTGGAGAAGATAAGGCGGGAGACGGGGGACTTTACAGACTAGGTTTAAGTCCCGATAGTGGTAATACATTTTATTCCTATGAAAAAGGGGATGGGAGCCAACCTGACAAGTTTGAAATAGAGTTTAATCCCGAGAGAAGAAGAAAAGAAAAGGAGCAAATAGACAGAGAACAACGCCGCCGCGACCGCGAACAGGCCGAAAGAGACCGTCAGCAAGTTGAGCGGGACAGAAAAGAAAAACAAAATTCTCCTGACTCATTTAGTTTTAGAGATAAAAAATGTGCCGAATGCGGCCAAGAAATTGATTTTACAAAAGGAATAATACGTAGTAAGCCAGACAGGCAGGAAGAGTGATTACATTTTTGTTCTGTGGAATGCTCCAAGAAACATTCTGATAAAAAGCATGACGAAAGAAAAAATAAACAAAATGACAATTCACCATGAGGAAAAAAGTGTGCGGGTTGTAATTGTAATATTAATTCCGGCTGTATTGAAGGCGACGGTCAAGGAAATTGATATTGTAGCCCTGAATGCACAAATAAAAACCATAAACCAAAAACAGAAATCGAGAAAACCCACGACAGATTGCAAAACCTAAAAAACAAACTTGCAAATTCTTCTAATTCTGAGGAAAAACAGCGATTAGAGCAAGAAATCAAAAATACCGAGGACCACCTAAAAGGCTTAAAAAACAACAAAGGTAACCAAAAAAAACAACCTAATCAAACCAGTTCGCCCAAAGCAGGCTACGGAAAAATCATTCTCGCCGGAGCGGTTATTTTCTCGGTAGTAATTTTGGCTTCAATTTTGATTGCAAGAACTCGCAAAAAGGTCAAGTAAAAGCGGGATTAAATTTAATATGCCAAAAGTAGATGAGATATTGATTAAACTTTTTGCTCTTCAATATCGGTTTAAATTATGACCATAATCGCATTTATCTCCCAAAAAAGGTAGAGCAGAAAAAGCAACCTCCCCTAAGTAATTCAAGCATTAGCCATGGAACCGGTAAAAAATCTTAAAACATTCCTTGGTAATTAAAAAGCATAGTAATGTTATTCACAAAAAAAATAAAAAATTTACAAGACTTAGAAAAATTAAGCATTCTTTTAACCCCCTTTCTTCATCCTAATATATTTTTAATCTTGCAAGGAGAATTAGGAGCCGGCAAAACCACTCTAACCCAATTAATAGCCAAAAATCTGGGAATTAAGGAAAAAGTAACTTCGCCCACTTTCATTATTTTACAAAGGCACCAAATAAAAGATAATTGCTTTTTAAATCATTTTGACTTTTTTCGTTTAAATACCACCGACAATTTAGACATTTTTCAAGAATTAACTGTCAATAATCTAAATATTATTGAATGAGGAGAGAAAAACCCCCAATTTTGGCAAGAAAAAAAATACATCAACCTAAAATTAGTTAAGGAAGGTTCAGGAATGAGAACAGCAACTATTTTCTTTTCCTCCTCTTTCCAACCAAAAATAAATGATTGGCAAGCAAAATAAATTACCAAATTTCGTGCGAGTAGTTATCCAAAATGAGAAAGGGGAATTTTTGGTAATCTTTGAAAAAAAATGAAATTGTTGGGTTTTTCCAGGCGTTAAAATAGAACCGAATGAAACACCTTTGGAAGCGGTAAAAAGAGAAGTTTTTGAAGAGACTAATTTAAAGTTGCTGAAAAAGAGTTTTTTAGCGATGAACTACAAAAAATAAGACAGGTTATCTTATCAAGGCTAATAAATACTCAGGGGAAATAAAAAACAAAGAATTAGAGAAAATTGCTGATATTCAATTTAAGCAGGTAGATTATGATTTTGCTATTAGTGGACCTTTTTATCCTATCATCTTTGAGGTTGATTAACAAGAGAAAATGCTAGCGATCTTAGTGTTATAATAAAAGGCCGGGGGAAAACAAAACCTCAATTCTCTAATCTTCTCTTCCATCCCCTAAAATTTTCATATGAAGTTCAAATTCAAAATTGATTGGACAAAACTTAAAAAGTTTTTTCTCTGGCTAATTGGCTGGTGGTCGGTGGAACTTGTTCCGCCCATCAAGTGCCGAATTCACAAAAGGAATGAAAAATCATTAGTCGGAAAAGCCTACTATTTTTGTGATTTAAAGAGTTGAAAAGTCAAAAGTCCACTCAAAGGGATTATTAGCAAAATTTATCCTAATTATGCCATTCAAATTACTAATGAAGAAGGATTGCAAATAATAATAGATATTCAAGTTGACAGAAAAAATCCGATGCCGCTTGACAAAATACTTCAATGCGAAGTCCAAGAAGGAGAAAAAGTCAGCAAAAAAACCACTCTCTTTATTGTTTATCTTGAAGAACAAGTTATTAGTGTTTCCGTTTATATTCCTTGACAGCCTGAAGTTATTGGTAAAATTGGTAGTTTTCAAAAGGATGATAAAAAATGTTTTGTTAAAGTGCATTATCGTAATCCCTATGCAAAAAAATTACAGTTTAAAAAACATGGTAAATACTAAAATATATATATGAGACTGATGAAGTAAAAGAGATGGTTTTCTTTTTTCTTTTTGGCATTTTCTTTTTGATTAATTCACTGACCTTACTTAAATCTTCCCCAAACTGGTGGTGGTGTAAGTAGTTAACGGAGTGGTTAAGTCATATAAAGAAACCTTAGAGCAAAGAGAGATTTAGAGCGTATGAATAAACCTACCCAATAATTCTCTTATAAACAAAAATAAAACTTATCTCATCTAAATCACCAGATCTTAGCATAATTAAGGGTGGGATTATTTTTTTCCATGACAGGAAAAATCAACACCACCCAAACTCACAGTTGAGAAAATGAAATTTTGCCAGTTTTTCTGATGGTTCTAAAAAACCTTAAAAAAGGGTTAATTTCTCATTTTCTAAGTAAAAAAGCGGAGAATTTAATCCTAACTTTGGCCCTAAACTTCCTTTTGGATGATAAA